ATTTCTCACAACATTTCACATTCAGTTATGAAAGGAAAGAATATAAAAAACAAAAGTTTTAACACACCCCAGTCAACATCCATAAAGTAGGAAAACAAGCCCCAAATAAAAATAATAAATAAACAATAGGCTATGGAACAAATACAATACAATTAATGGTCAACTGTAAGTAATAGTCACCCAAGAAGCTAACTACTACTAAATCTATCTAATTACACATATACAAAAAATAAAAAACATTCCATTAAAATAACATTTGAACAAAATTCAACGATAGGAAGGAAGGGAAAAAGAGGGAGGAGAATAGATGAGGGGAAGAGAGACAACAAAAAGACCAAGTGCTCCCTCCAAAGTCCAAACAATATCAATAGTTTAAAATAATTGATGTACACGTTTACGTCATTTCACACAATAACATGTTTTACACCAACAAAACAACATCCACATCAATACACATTAAAGATAAAAAAATTGTCATGTAACACAAGGGATCCGGTTACCTACATTATTAAAAAATTTACCATTGCAATTTATGAAGAATAACAAAAAAACGCCATAATTAAGGAAAGCAAGAATAACTTGCTAAAAGATGTAGTTGTGGACCTCGGCTAATAATAATGGTAAATATGAACTAGAACAATAAATGTAAGAAATATTTATGCATTTCTCATAAAAAACTAAAGATGTGGGGCTTTATATAAATTAGCAATGGTAAATAATAGTCCTAACAGACTACCCCAATCCAAACCAGAGAGGCTAACTACCACTAAATCTACCCACTTAATCACATACGTTTCAAGCAAATAACATTGAAACATGATACTCAAATAATAAAATAATAGGAAGGAAGAGAGAAAGAGGAGAGAGGAGAGGGAAAGGGAGAGGGGAATATCGGAGGGTGGGAGGGAGATTGAGGATGGAGAGGACAGGGAAGAGAGAGGGAAGGGAGAGCTCTTCTTTTGAATGACTTATTGAGTAGAACCTGAAAATTCTTTGTTTCTATATGTCCAAGAGTATATTAAGCAATTTATTTACTTTCTCAAGAACTAAAGGTAAAAAATAAAAAATAAAAACTATCTACTATCTTATATACATACAGACAAAAGTGATGTTATGGAGAGCTCTTCTTTTGAATGACTTATTGAGTAGAACCTGAAAATTCTTTGTTTCTATATGTCCAAGAGTATATTAAGCAATTTATTTACTTTCTCAAGAACTAAAGGTAAAAAATAAAAAATAAAAACTATCTACTATCTTATATACATACAGACAAAAGTGATGTTATGGAGAAAGCATTACTTGAAACAACCACCACTACCAAAACAAAAAAATAACCACAATGACAACCAAAGAACAACTCACGGTCCAAATAACGACCAAAACAAAAAATGACCAAAGCAACAAACAACAACCACGACAACCATCAATAGAATGTAGATAAATAGGAAAGGCAGCAGTAACGTACACGCGAAGAAGGGAAAGAAGCAAGAACATGAAGCTAGAAGGAAGGAGTTTCAAATGCACAATAATACATAAATAAAAGTTTTGTAACTCCATCAAAACAAATAAAGAATAACAAAAACAACAAAAGCAAAAAAAACAGACAAAAGGAGGGTGGGAGAGGAGAGACAAAAGGAGGAGATTCTGGAAGGAAGGGCAGCATGGGGAAGAGAGAGAGAGAAAGCAATATGAAATTATGCAAACGACAAACATCGTGAAAGAAAAAATAAAGGGTAATGGTAATAAAAATTAAATAAATGGTAATGGTAATAAAAATTAAATAAAGGGAAGGGCGTACCTAACTACATCTACTATTGACTCGTTCTCTGGTTATGTATATGCCAAAGTAACACAACATGAATAAAGAGACAACATCGAAGAAAACATGAACAAATAGCATAAAGACACAAACATAAACAAAGCAAACACAAATACAAAAATTCTCTACCTAAATTTCTCACTACCTACCAGCTTTCACAGTCAAGGAAAGAATATCAAAGACCAACAAGTTTAAACACCCTACTCGGTGCAAAATTTTATAAAGAACAATAAAAACAATCATCCACTAGGAACCAGAAAAAACAAGCTACAGGCTACTCCCCCAAAATATACAAGCCCAACCAAAACAAATACAATATAAACCTAACCAAATATAATCAACCAAAACAAATGTCCAATTAAAATAACCAATAATTGGTATTGGAATGGGTAGGGAGGGAGAGGAAATGAAGACTAAGTGCTCCCTCCCCTCCAAATAGTAACAGTAGTTTGCCAACATTTTACACAATAACATCATATTTTGCCAACAAAACAATATCAAACTCAACAAACTAAACATAAAAAATGACATCATAATACTACAATGCCCCTATTACCCTTCACATTATCTCAAATTGATCATTGCCATTTATAAAGAATAATAAAAACAGCCAAAAATAAGCTATGATCATAGTTAGTCAACATCGATGGATATATACTAGAACAATAAATAAAGAAAAGAATTTATGATTATTTAAATATACAAACTGTAAACAACAATCTCAACCGACTGCATGATAATCCTAACCAAAGAAGCTAACAACTACTAAAACTTAGCAAAGCAAGAATGGAGAAGCCAAGATAGCTAAAAGCTAATAGCAAATAGTTTCTCCCCAAAAAAGAATAACAAAAAGCACTAGACTATGGAACAAAAACAATACAATTAATAGTCAACTGTAAATAATAGTCACCAAAAAAAAAAGTCGCCAAAAAGCTAACTATTTCTAAATCTATCTAATTATAATTAAACAAATACAATAAATAACAAATATTCAATTAACATTGGAACAAAATCCAACCATGGTAAGGGAGGGAGAAAGAGGAAGGAAAAGAGGAAAGGGGAAACAAGAGGAGGGGAAGAGAGACAACAGGAAGACCGAGTTCTCCCTCCTAACAATATCAATAGTTTACCAACATAACATGTTTTACCAACAAAACAACATCCACTTCAATACAAAGTTAAAGATAAAAAATTTCATAATAACACAAGGGATCCTTGCATCTATCAAGTTACCTACATTATTTTGAAATTTACCATTGCGATTTATGAAGAATAACAAAAAAGCGCCATCATTTATAAGGAAAGCAAGCAGGAATAACCTGCTAAAAGATTGTAGTTATAGACCTCAGCAGGTAATAGTTGTAATATGAACTAGAACAATAAATGGAGAAAATATTTATGCATTTCTCATCAAAAACTAAAGATATGGGGCTTTATATAAGCAAATGGTAAATAATAATCCAAACTGACTACCCCAATCTTAAACAGAGAAGCTAACTACTACTAGAACTACCTAATACAATTAATCACAAATGTTTCGTTCAAATAACATTGAAACACGATAATCAAATAATAGGAAGGGAGAGAGAAAGAGGAGGAAGAGAGAGGAAAGGGAGAGACGAATAGGGATGGAGGGAAGGAGATTGAGGATGGAGAGGAGAGGGAAGAGAGGGAGAATGAGGAAGGAGGGAGAGGAAAGGAAAAAGGGGAGGGAGAGATAGGAAAGAGAGAGGGAGGAAGCTCTTCTTTTGGATAACTTATTTAGAACCTGAAAATTCTTTGTTACTATATGTTCAAGGATATATTAAGCAATTTATTTACTTTCCTCAAGAACTGAAGGTAAGAAATCAAAAATCAATATCTAGCATCTTATATACACACACAAACAATTGTGACAATATGGGGAAAACATTACTTAAAATAACCACCACAACCAAAACAAAAAGAACCACAACGACAACCAAACAACAACAACTCATGGTCCAAATAACAATCAAAAATTAAAAAAACAAAAACAAAAAAAATACCAAAGCAACACAAATAACAGCCACAACAACCAAAAAAAAAAAAAAGAAAGCAGGTAAATAGAAAATGCAGCAGTAATGTACACGCAAAGAGGAAAAAGAAGCAAGAACATGAAGCTAGAACTGGAAGACTCTAACGTTTCACACTCGATAATGGAAGGAGGAGTTAAAAATGCACAATAATACATACATAAAGTTTTGCCCCTTTTCAAGATTGATCGTCGTTGAGCACGAGTGACCACACCTCATGACAAATACAACACTCCTGGGTTCCTTTGTTAGTAAGAAATGATTAGAAACCACCCCGATAATACTAAGATATTGAAGACATTGAAGACAGTACACAAAAGCTCAAAATATGAACAAGATGAAGAGAAGCAGGTATCTGGATGGAAAAGAAAAAATAAAAAGAGGGACCTACAACAAATTTTCTGAGCCGTACATAATGGGACCTTTTAAGCATTAGTGTCATAATTAAATTTCTGAAGAACCATTCGAGTAACCGCAGCTTCTATCCACCAAGAGTTTAAAGCCTTGCCACTTCCCAATCCAATGTTTGGATTGTAAATAGAATTTATTTCACGGGTCATTTATTTGGTTCATAATATAATACCATTAGGTTAGGTTCAAACATATATATGGTTGCTCATATTTACACAAGCTAAGCAAACATGTAACCATATTATCATTCTATCCACCACTACGTCAGGAAAATCATATCTAAGGAGGCTATTCATACAATAGTGAAAGAGAAAATGACCATCTTGAAAAAAAGAGGATTCAATAGCCTCGAGTCAAGGCACATTGACCTAGAGAAAGGTATCAGAACATTACCATCAGAAAAGAATCGCAAGAATTGCTAAAATAAAAGTGAAAAGAAGAAACCTGACAAACACAGTGCCCCTTTCCAAGATTGATCATCGTTGAGCATGAGGGACCACGCCTCATGACAAATACAACGCTGCTGAGTTCCTTTGTTAGTAAGAAATGATTAGAAACCACCCCATTATACTAAGATATTGAAAACATTGAAGACAGTACACAAGAGCTCAAAATATGAATAAGAGGAAGAGAAGCAGGTGTGTGGATGGAAAAGAAAAAAAAATGAGGGACCTACAATAAATTTTCTGAGCTGTAAGTAATGGGACCTTTTAAGCATTAGAGTCATAATTAAATTTTCTGCAGAACCATTTTCGAGTAATCGCAGCTTCTATCCACCTAGAATTTAAAGCCTTGCCACTTCCCAATCAAATGTTTGGATTGTAAATAGAATTTATTTCACGGGTCATTTATTCGGTTCATAATATAATACCATTAGGTTAGGTTCAAACATATATATGGTTGCTCATATTTACACAAGCTAAGTATACATGTAACCAGATTATCATTCTATCCACCTCTACGTCAGGAAAATTATATCTAAGTCTAAGGAGGCCATTCATAATCCAACAACAAAACTAAAAAATCAGTATATGAAAATTCAAATCTAAATTGACTTTTTTATTCGAGCTAATCTCATAACATAGTTGAATGCAAACACTGCTTTTACCTTAAAAATAACAAACATAACTTAATCCTTACCGCGCAAAATTTCTGCTCAAGTAGAGTCACAACAGCCAGCTGGGCAAATTTCCGCCTAACAGATCAATATGTAAAGGAAGAATATCAGGTGATTTGCTGCAAAGAGAAACGAAAGATGTTGATCACCACTATTTTAAATACTTTCTACGAATATTATGAAAAACATTGTGAAACTGTGTGCAAGGGTAACATATACCACATTGAAAGAAACCTTTAAAATGCAATCTCTTCAGTTCTGCTATATTATCCATCCAACAATGGCTTGCAGTACCCTTTACCATCCTCAATATCCTTTTATGAAAATTCTCTCCTTCATTGATGAGGCAAATTAGGTGTAAAAAAAGGGTACGATGATAAATCACACTACAAAACAGAAAAGAGATCACCTGCATTGGTTTGATGCCAAAGCAAACAAAAAATCTTATGAGCCTTTATATTCTTGATCCAATTTCAAGTAAGAAGACAAGACATACCCACATAACCATATCCTCCTTCAATCAAGATTTCTAGATGTGGAACCTATAAAATGAGTTGTAGCAAGATGAAGCTACTGAGCGTGTATCTATAATAATACAATAGTCAAAATTCAGAATTTCAAGAGTTTACTTACAAGGACACCCTTTCTCATCTTACCTTTAAGAAGGGATATAAATTGTGCTTCAACTGCCTGACTCAATGAAACTGGACCCCATGGACTAGAAATGCCCACAAATTACATAAACTTTTTTCTGGAAAAATTGCATTAGAGTATCTACACCTTCTCCCAAAAAATTTTAATGAAACAAGAGTTTTAGCATTTTACCAATCACTCGCCAACATTTGTTCTAGATAAACACCAGCACACTGTAACTGGATCCTGCAAATCTGTAGTCAAATGAATCTTTGTCGTACTAGCATTTTCTATTACAAGAACCTAGCATAATGAAAATAATTAGAAAACAAAAATGGCCTTTGAAAAAGAGGAATTGGAAAAAATAACATCATTTTCCTACCAGAAGATCCTTACCACGATCATGTTCTTCCTTTAGTTTAACATATGTCAAGGCTTTTGGCTTAGCTGAATATGTTTCCTCTATATGTTGAGGACATTTTTATTTACAAGTTGCATAAGGTCCCTCTGCTTTCTTTGAATTTTTTCAACTCCAACGTATTTTGAGCCTGCAATAGCTTTGCTTCTTTAGTTTATATTTCTCCTTCAGAGAGCAACTTTTCCTTCGCTTCTTCAAATTCCCTCTAAATAATCATGGAGAACAAACAAGTAAAATGAGTAATGAAATGACATATGAAAGGATACCTGCTTTGGGCCGGTGAGTTAGAGAGACAGGGAGAATAAATATCCCTCACAGTGTAATTAGCTTCCCTTGATTTCTCCCAACTTATGTATGCTTGAATTTTAACAAGTTCGTCAGGAATTGTCTTTTCTTCCAGAGTGGATAGCTCTATCAGTTCCCTGCCATCATTTTCTTTGGTCAGTTTGGCTCCGAGATCTTGTAATGGTAGCACCCCTGCTGCAATAACTTAGCTCGAGCTGCTTTATACTCCTACAGTCTAATGAAATTTTGTTAAAAGTTGATAATCAGCATCAAGCAAAAGGGTACATAAAACATATCTACTGATCGATCAAAAAACCTCTCTTCTGTGATAATCGAAAATAAATTTCAAAGAATAAGGTCTTGGTGGCATTTATAGCTTAATAACCAGTTTTAATGCACAATGAAATCTTAGGAAATAACAACGTAGTTGAATTCCACCTACAAAAAACTTTAAACTTCCTTACAATCTTGTCCAATATAATGTTGAACTTTTGTTATTTGTTTTATACTAAACACAAGTTAAATGTGAATTTAAAAGTGGACTAAAAAACAAATGTAGAGAGTATGATGCAATTCATCTGAAGGAACAAAAGTAAATTGAAAGTTTGAAGAGAGTTCATCCCTGCATGCTCCTTTTGTATAGTTTACATCATTTTGCCCTTTCTTTCCCATAGTACAAGATCTTCAAGGAACTTTTCTTGCACCTGTAAGATAAACATGAATGTTTGTCATTGTTCTTATCTGAATAAAAAATTTGAGATGCAAAAGCACAAGACCTGTGAATTGAGCAGTCACTAGCTTCAATGTTCTTGAAAAACAAAATCCGTAAAGAAGTCATACCGTTTATTATGGGCTGTATTGACAAGTCGTCCTCAGGTGTAAGGATAGAATTGAAACCAGACTGCCAAAACGGAAAAAGAAAACAAGAGATTCAATTATCTGATGGAATAAATTATAGGACTTCAAAACTTACTTGAAACTTACTTTCAGAAAAGGAGTTCTAAGAGCTCTGGTCTTAAATTAGAGATGCAAAAGCACAAGACCTGTGAATTGAGCGTTCACTTGCTTCAATGTTCTTGAAAAACAAAATCCGTAAAGAACTGCTTATTATGGGCTACATCAAGTCAGACAAACTCTGCTTGTATTGACGAGACGTCAACCTCAGTTGTAAGGATAGAATTTAAACCAGACTGCCAAAAAAGAAAAAAAAAACAAGAGATTCAATTATCTAATGGAATAAATTATAGGACTTCAAAACTTACTTGAAACTTACTTTCAGAAAAGGAGGTCTAAGAGCTCTGTTCTTAATATTTCAGATCCACCTGGGCTAAACAGTAAAAACTACACTAGTTAAAGCTAATGACATACCCAAAAGAAAAAAAAAAACCGGAAAATAATATGTGATTACAGAATTGATCACTATTAGAGAACCAATATGAATGAATGAATTTTTAAATCAACAAAATCTCAGAGTTTCTATTGAGGTTCCATCTGGTCAATAATGCCAAATAACTTTCATAGCCGTCCTTTACCGTACTCTTAATTTCAATAACTAATTTAAGATACCTTGCATAGTGGAAGTCTCTTGGGTGTTTTTGTTACATAAGAATTATGAACTGCAAAATGAGTTGTGGTTAAAGTTCTAGAGGTAGTTGTGGTTGGACTACAATTTCCCTCGGGATCCTCAATTCCATGCAAATGGGTTTTTTCTTTACAAGATAAAGAACTTTCAGGGATGTTTTTTATTTTGTTTTGTTTTTAGAAGATGAATCCAAAACCAGTGTAAAAATAAATTTAAACTCACCAGTGCTTCAAGTAGGCTAATGCATATAATACAAGTGAAAAAGAGTTGAGAGTCAGAGAGAGGAGATATTGAAACAAAATATCACTCGAAAAGAGATCCAACATCACCTAGCATGTGAAACATGGTAGAAGACTTGACATTATGTATAAAAAGTAATGACAAACGGCCAAACAAGTCTGCCTATCAAGAAAAATTCGAGATATGAGAAAGAAAAGTATATTACATGCTTACTAAATTGCAACATTAAACCAGTAAACTACACAAAAACAAACCATGTTTAAAATATTAAGCAATAAATTTAAAATCTTGAAATAAATTCCAGTAAATGTAATCATCAAATACATCGAAACAAAAATCAAAGCTAAATTTTAAATAAAGCAATGTGAACACTGTTACACATAAATAAAGAACAAAAGAAACTGGAGATGAGATGAGAGAGAAATGAGAAACATGGCAAAAGTTAAATCCTACAGATGCAATGCAATAAAATAAAAAATAGTATTTCGATGTGTTCTTATTTTCAGTTCTCATAATTACATGATTTTCCTATATATATATATATATATAATTTATTTTTTTTCTAATAATTACCAATCAACTATTTTACAGAAAATATTAAGTTGTACAAGATCCGAAACATGATACTACATTAATAGCAGAAAAGTATCAAATGTAAGTACAGATCAACATTAGCTTACCAAAATAATCAATAAACATCCACCCATCCATATCGCATCCTAATCTTTGAATGAAAAATAAAGTTATAGAAATCTCCGGAAAATCAAATCAATTTTCAATGTAAGCATTTTAAAATAGCTTGAAAAATACACCGCCAACTTGTAAATAAAAATTATCACAGAAAACGAACACACACACACACGTAATGACTAGCCAGTATTTTTCATGCTATTCTCACCAAACAGAAAAAGAACCATCAACATGAACACAACCATTTTATTAAAAAGAACCTGAGCATGGATGAAGCTGCATAATGACTAGACAGAATTGATGCCATTATCGTCCAAGCTACTACATAATCAAAGATCAACGTAATGCAGAACCAAAAATCACAAAATAGGATAGCAAACAGAATCTCATGTTGCATGGCTTGACAACTCCAAAGTCATGCAGAGGGAGAGATATCAATAATTTTGTTACCTGTGAAAAATCTCATGTTACATGGCTTGCCAACTCCAAAGTCAGACTTAATTATTATGAATTTTGGTACTTGGCTGATGGAGCACTGCCTTCGGAAACATGGTGTGGCACAACCTTTTAGATGTCTACCCGTAAATAACTTTTATCAATTACAAACTTACAAGATGAGTTAATTAAATCAATTAAATATATTGAAGATGTAAAACTTTCGGATTGTTCCTACTAAGAATATACTAAGTCTGACTCCTGTCACTTTAAAAACTCAAATTCCTTCATGAGAGAGAAACTTATCATTGTTGAGGCAGCTCCAATTCTTGCATGCTTAAATATTCTAAATTGTTTATTTATTTTGTTACAGACAGACATAATAAATATGTGCCTGATTATGGAATGCATATTGAAGTAACTGGAATGCCATTATCAACTTACTACTGCATGACGGTGGAAAATTGAAATATGCGAAAAGGCGAACCTTACAGAGAAGTAGATCAGATGTGCTGAATGACCACTCCACAACAGAAAGGGAAACAATAAATATTGTAATTCCATGGCTCTGCCTCTGGTGGGTTTGATTCGAAGCACCAAGTGAACAAATCCTCCCATTAATCATTATATTGAATAACAATATAGAACAACTATTGAAGTCATATATTGACTAATGTATTGTGAAAAATGTCGTAGGCAGGCTAACAAACAAACAAACCAAACCCCCAGAAACTATTGATTTATATATAGAGGGTCAAGAAGTAATGTGAATGGTTGTCATTTCGGAAATTTGAAAGCTACCCCAGATGCATTGGATGAATAAATATTGATTAATAGTGAGGTTGGTTTATAAAAATCTTTTTCTTATTTTAAGCTTCATGCAAATAACCTCCCAAAGTCAATGTTAAAGCTTCTAGATCGTTTTATATAGGACTTATGTAGAAACTAATAATTGTAATCTTCTGCTTAAGAGTTCAAAGACCCCACATAAAATCACAAAATTTAGCCACATGTAATCAATACACTAGACTCCCAGTAATAGCATATGCAACATCTTAAGCACAACTAATCTAGGTTTAATCTCAGTCAAAGAACCCAATAGGTAAACATCATAGCTTAAGTGCCATAAATGCTCAATAAGCATCACAACAAAGAATTCATTCCTATAAAAAATGAGATGAAGGTGTACCAACAAAAAAAAAAAGAAGAATACGAAACAAGTACTCAAAAAAGAACTTAAGTAAAAAAATATGGAGAAATAAAGTGCTGTAAGTATTATTACTTGTGCAGCCAGAAGAAACTTTTTCAATATAATCCAAAATCCTATAATTTATTTGGAGATATAATTTTAAAAATGGTTTTCACAACTTCTACAACCAACATCATCAAACGATATTTCAATAAAAAAGATAAAAAAAAATAAAAATAAAAATAAGATATTCAGATTAGACATGTAAGAAACCCATAAATATCGTGGTCGACGACTTCCAAAAGCAAAATATTTTGAAAGTAGAAGCAGGGGTATCAAGAAGAAATTAAACTCAGTATAGTACAAAAGGAAGAAAGAGAGAACAAAACAGTCGAAGGAGTTAATAAGGATAGACACTGAAATCGGGTAAAAGAGTTGAGAAAATTGACGTTGTAATGGTGTGCGATCAATTTACTCATTTTAGTGTCACGATAAAAAAGAGTATAAATGATATAGCAGGACTATAGTGTCACAATCAACAACCACAAAGTATAGTCTCCATCCAATTGTTCAAAAATTAAATCTAATTAAGAGAACTTGTAATATGTGAATTAAAATAAGATTTACCCATTTTAGTTTTTTGAAAGAATCAAATTACTTACTAGGGCTGACCCAATGATATAAACTGCCGAATATTGCCAGCTACGGATGATATCTTCCAACATTGCTACAGGAATAGTAAGGGACACACCAAGAGCAGCTACCAGAGGGGAAGTCCAAACAACAGCCAATGCCCTGTGTGTACAGTTTCCACCTGACCATAAAAATTAAAAGAGGACGAGAAGACATCAATTCAATTTCAAAATTTTCATAAGTAGAATCAAAAGAATACGAATACAAATATTGATGAACAAATACATTCCCCACTCCAAACATTTTGTGCAAACATATTATGTTCATAAATTCAGTATTTCATTGCATGCCAGACGTATTTATTGATGTATAAGCTGCAGAAAATATGATGGCCGATGGGTTGTATATAAATCATCGTTCTAGTGGCTATTACCTGTGCAGCTTCATTGGAATTGGAAGCATTATTTATCCTGCCGAGGTCTAACATTAACAACTGCTCCACAAATGTCATCACCACAATCACTGATCTGTGTTCTCCAATGATAGCAAGCAGCTGTGAAAAGTGATTGACTGTTATAAAAACAATAAATAACTAGTGTCAGTAAACTTAAGCACGCAATTTTGAGTGGTAGCGTGTACAGCAAGCCATGGTCAGATTTGCCCCTTGAAAGTTTACAGTCCATTCCCCTCGCAAACAGGATCCTACAATTAATGCTCAGTTTTATGTTTAAAACAGCACAAATCAAATCTACCCTGGATGTCAACTTGGTTGGATGATGGATATTGTAGTATACACCAGATGCATGCAGGAAAAAACATGAAAAGATTGATCAATCAATACAATAGCAGGGAAAATGAAAATAAAAAGACAAATTAAGAACCGATTAAAAACACAAGGTTGAGAAGTATATGGATGAGAGTGGAAATGTTTTGTCAAATACGAGGGGTATGATAGACAAAACCACCGGAATTCTAAGATCGAGCAAATCGGTTGTCGAAACCCTAAAATTCAGGAATAACAAGAGAAAGAAGACAATTCCAACACCGGGCATGACAAATTTCATGGAATTTGATATGATCTTAACCTGGAACAGAACATTCAGGAATATGGCAGAAGATTTGCTAATAAATTGGAAAGAAAATGGCGGTTATCGAGTAGATACTTACCAGCAAAACAAGCTGCAGCATGAGAAACTAAAACTCTCTGGAATGGGATCTTTCAGTGCACCTATATTCATGATTCACATCACGAGACCACTCTCTATCATGTGATTCAGAAGTGCTGATAATCGTCCTCCATTCTATCATACTGATCCTAACGGTCTCGGTCACAATGGCCTTCTCAGTTTCACCATAGAAAGTTTACGGTCCCTTTCCCTCACAAATAGGATCCTCCAATTTATGCTCAGTTTTATGTTTAAAACAGCACAAACCAAATCTGCCGTGGATGTCAACTTGGTTGGATGATGAACATTGTGGTATACACTACTAGATGCATGCTGGAAAAAACATGAACAGATTGGTCAATATAATCAATACAATAGCAGAGAAAATGAAAATGAAAATATAAAAAGACAAATTAAGAAGCGATTAAAAACACAAGGTTGAGAAGTATAAGGATGAGATTGAAAATGTTTTGTCAAATACGACGGAAGTTTAGATGGAGCAAATCGAAACCCTAGGGCTGCGAAACTTTTGTGGCGCCTCTCCCTCGGTTGTCGAAACCCTAACATTCCTCCGACCACCAAAATTTGAATCGGAGGCCGAAGACAGAGAACGCAGAAACGTCGGCTGCGCCATCGAGGGGATGAAGAAGAAGAAGAAAGAGATGATCGAAGCGGTGGAACTGGTAAGCGATCACCATTGCGATGGCGATGAGAAGAAGTGATCACTATGGAACGCAAACGGGAGCGGGGAGCGGGGAGCGGGGAGCGGGAAGCGGGAAGTGGAAGTGGAAGTGTGACCGAACGATCAAATATAATAACGAACTCCCCAGCTTCAACCCCGCGCAACGGAAATCTTTTTTTTTTCTAATTCAAAATTCAAAATTCAAAATAAAATGCTAACGGTAATTTCTGTAGAGATTTCCGTAAAAATCTGGGATTTCCAAGTTGCACAATATTTTTCCTTTTTTGAAAACAATAAAATTTTTTTACCGTTGATAAATTACCCAACATGCTAATTTTAATATATCAGTATATGAGAGAAATTGTGATAAAAATACATTCCAAATTAATTTAAATCAATTTTAAAGATGGAGAAAAGCTTAGGAAAAGTGATAAATCAAAAAAGGACAAAACAAATAGGGAAGGTAAAGAAAAACAATTAAAAGAAAGAGAGTAAATACAGTTAAAAATAAAAGGTGGTAAATAACTGAGATAAAATTTCACATGGAAATAAATTATAAAGAAAATTTTAAGATAGAAAAATCTCAGGGGAGAGAAAAACCACCCTCTTGAGAAAAACTGTTGATCTTGATACACACACTAATCAATAGTTTGTTAAACCCAACAGTACTTTTTTTTTTTATGTTCCCAATTATTCCATTTTATTTTATTTTTTTACAACATTTTTTTATTATTTTTTAAGTCCAATTCTTCTATTATATTCCAAAGTGTATTTTTTTTTTTTAATGCTATAATGCACCTACTAATATAAAGCATAATTCGTCTCTCTCCTCTAAGGAAACATCACAGCCAAAAAAGAAAAGTGTAAATTAAGTTTATTCCTAAACTTCCAAATTTTGATCTATAATAAATTGAACTCTAAATGTCTCTAAACACTGTATTTAATATGTGGCCGACCATCTGATATTTTTAAAATTAGTGAATATATTAGATATAAAATTGAATTTCTATATATAAGATGACCCTAAACATTAAATTTTATATCTATTAAGTTTGTGAAGTTAAAAAAAATAGAGAGAATGTTTGAGGACTTATTAGACAGTTGTTAAAGTTTAGGGTGTGATTATATTTAATATAAAACTCAAAAGTTTAAATTTGTAATATGGTTTTTAAAAAGAAGATGGTTATAAAATGAAGGGTAAAATATACTTTTTATTCCCTGAGTTTAGATATATGTTTCTATTTGGTTCTTAAGTTTCAAAAAATGACAATTTTGTCCAAACTTTTAAAAAAGAGTTGTAAAAGGTCGATGGGACCAACAACTCAATTAACGAAAGCTAACGTGGCTTGGTAAGTTGGGTATTTATTTAATTTTATATTATTTTAACATGCCTATAATTATTTCATTTTTCTTTTTCTTTCTCACTCTCCCTCGTCTCCCTCTCTTCCTTCTTCCCTCCTATTGTCTATACCTCCGGTTCTCTTCTCCCCTCCTGATTCCGACCCACCAACGTCATCGCCCTCCAACGAACACCACTTGCTTTCCTCGCAGAGTTTGGAATTCGACCTCTCTTTATACGCGGGGTCATGGACTCCTTTTTCGTTTACGATCCCCTTTCAATGAAATTCTTTATTGAGCTTGTCGTGGAGTCACAATCATTATACATTCATCGTTGGTCTGACTACTGGTCTAGCGATCCCTCCTAGTCGCCGTCGTCAGTGCAGTCTGCCTGTTGAAGATCGTAACATAAGTAACTCAGTGCTCTATATGGGGGCAATGAAAGCATAATTGGTTCAGATCCTCCCACATGTTCAATCTTTTTTTAGCAGTTTCCCTAGAGATCTTTATCACTAATGCAACTTTCATTTTTCTCATTCATGGAGGAGCGCCGCGGTGAATTCAAATCGTGGGATTTCACAGTGGTTCAGCTTCCACAACCACTTTGTTAATTGGTGCAAAACAAATACATAATTTCAATAGTAAATCACTTCAAAATATTAAAATAATTTCAAACAAAACTTTATCCAATCATGCCAAACATACCTTCAAATATTTCATAATTAAATAAAATATCAATTTCTAAAATATTTATAAAATCATAATAAAACTTCAATTTCATAAAAAAAAATGTCAAACTCCAAATCTTTCATATCAAATCTAAAATAAATATTCAGTTTTTGGAGGGATACGTACAATTACTTACAAAACTTTTGGTTTACCTCTATTGGAAATCTCACAAATGTAAATAACATCCTCCTTGACCTTTAAAATTCAACACATTACTACTCAATCTTCCCATTCAAAAACTTTTTCACATGAAACAATTATGAAAAATATGGATTTAAGGCTACAAAGCCAATTTTGAAAAACTTGGTTAATATACCTTAAAATTAAAAAATAACACTAAAAATTGTTACTAATCAAATGCAGAGTGAATTTATAAAAAATTTCTCAACAAAACTGCATATACAACCTTCAAAACTATTAAAATTTTGGTGATTTTAAATATGGAAATTTTTTTCAGTTTTATGAAAGAAAAGTTCCGAAAATTCAACAAAACAATTTACTGATTTTTTATAGAAAAATCAAATTTGAAAAGGGTATAAAAAAGCCTTTAAAACTGGATAGAAACGTACCATTTTCATGTAAAAATGAAGGGAATGAACTATACCGTAGAATGCAGATGGTTAAATTTTTTACGCAAAAAGAGTTCAAAATAGCCCAAAAACATTTTCAGAAACAAAATTATTTAAACTGAAAATTCTGGAACGGTAAAAAGTATTCAATCTAATTGAAAAAGAAGAAAAAAAAATACCCCAAAACGTTTTCCAACAAATTGAATTAAATATTTAACATTAGAAAAAATAAAACAAATACAATACGAAAGAAAACTTACTGTTTTTTTTTTTACTAGAGTATAAAAATTTCTTTCTTCTTAACTGTTTTATTTTACTAGGTCTAGAGAAAATTACTAATGTAAAACTAGGGTTTAAAGAGTTTAAAACCAACCCTGTTAAAACTTTTTAAAAAGCCGTAACAAGATAAAAATTTATCCTTTTACAAATCTCTTTTCTTTTTCTAAAAAAGTTTGGCTCCAAGCGTGTGGTATACTGTCCTTCTAGACTGGGGGCACTTGGCACTCTTAGATTCTGAGTTTGTTCCAATAGCGGCCACACGTGAGATCCTGATCGTCTTCCTCCTAGTGTTTTTGTCCGTTTGGGAAGGAAAGTTCAGTGGTTTCCTTCCAAGACCGGAGAATGTCAAACTCTGGGTTGGCTATCACTACGCTACAGTTTCACAGGATTAAACCTTTTTTGTTCAACCGAAGTAAAGGAGTTCCAGAGCACGAGGGAATGGGCTTTCACTCCCGGGACCGCCTCGTCTATGTACTCGGTGCCTCTCTTGAAAATATACATATTTATTTATTTTTTCGATTCGTTACAGATACCCACCACCCACCCTCGTCGGCTCTCTTTCTCTCACAACAAGGGAGAGAGCCCTCTCGATCCCTCATATAGTTCTCTCCAGCAAGGACTACGAGGGAATAATAGAGTTACAAGAGAGATCTGGCTCRTTCTATAACTAGAACAGGGCAGAGATGAGCCGATGAACCGACAAGAAGATTAGGAGAACCAAAGAAGATGATGTAAGCGTGTTAAGAGTAAAAATAGAGAGGACAAAATATCTTATTAAAAAAATTTAGAAAAGGAGAAAATTTTATGTTAGGAGAAAAAAGTGTTTAATTGAAAGTGGAAAGTTAGGGACATATATATTTTATGTTTTATAAATATTTGTCGAGATATCGTTTTATCTTTAATATTGATATGACGATAACTTGAGAACTCCGTAAATGAAAAACAAGATCTCCCCTCACCATCAACCCACCCCAGCTCTGTTTCGAATATCGGCTCCAACTTGGTCAAAAGCTTAACACTTCATAGCCATTTCTGTTTATAGTTTTTTAGTTTTTAGTTTTCTATTTTTGAAAAACAAAAACTATGATAACCATTTTTTGTTTTTTATTTTTAAAAATCAGAAAATCAAACATGAAAAAATTATACGAGATGACAATAGTGTAGATGCGAGTTAGGATGCTCTCCACCTCGTCTCTCGGAAAATCGTCAGTTTTATAATTGTTTTTAATTATTTTTAGAATTTAAAAAGTAAAAAAGTGTAATAAATATATGTATTAATTATTTAAAAAATGGAATCGGAGACTGAGTCAGAACATGCATTTCCTATTTTTGGGACCCGACCCTATGAAAATTCTTGCTTATCACTAGTGTAAAGACATGAAAATACAAATTTAGAGAGATGTAAATAATTTTTGGAAGATAAATCTTAGAGAGATAAATAAAAAATTAGAAAAAAAAATTAGTGAAAGAAAACTTATACAAAAACAGAAAAATTTTGAAGAGAAAAAATAAGTCGAGAAAAGATATGTTAAAGAAATTAGAAAGAAAGAGAAAAATTATAATGGAGAAAATTTAGAGATAAAAATAAGATTCAAAATATAATTTTTAGAGAAAATAAATAAATACAAAGATAAATAAAATTACCATGACAGAAAATTGAATGATAAAAAAAAGATATAATTTTGAGGGAAAAAATAGATTTGGAAAAGAAAGAAAAGTTATAAAAGACGAAATTTTTATAGAAAAAAGTTTGGAGAAATATTAATTTTTTAGAGAGGTAAATAAAACTGATGGGTTAAAAAAAGAAATAATAAATAAAAATACATAGAAATGAAAATTTTGGATGAAGAGAGATAAATAATAATAAATATTCTGGGAAAATTTTAGAGAGAAATTTAGAAAGAAGAAAATTTAGAGTGAGAAAAAAAATTTGAGACAAATATATGTCAATTACCGCTAAGCTATGCTCGCTTTGGCGTGAAAATTATATACATGTCTACAATTAATTGTATAAACTTAATGTTTAATACTACTTTGGTCCAACTTTGATTTATGGTCTTTCAAAACATCAATTTTAGTATCTATAGTTTCCGTACTTTTAAAACGTCCATTTTGATCTCCATAACTTGTAAAATTTTAACAAAGTATCACGCTAAAATTTGATTGAAAATTTTAAATAAAAAGCTTAAAAGCTCAAATACTAAAACAAACATTTAAAAAAAGTGGAATAGAAAGTAACATTGGTCCAACTAGGCCAATCCAAAAATTTAGATAAAAATAAAAATAGAAGGTCCAAGATGGTCAATTTTTTAAAAGCTCAATGACTAAAACTATCATTTTAAAATTACTAGACTAAAATGAAGGAAAAAAATGGAGAGTTACGAGGTATCCTGAAGAGTACCAATTTTTTCGGGATCAATTAAGCCAATCTCTCGAGCTAGAGGGCATGCAGTTTAATTTCCAAGTAACACCTATTCGGAGGTCACATGTTCAAACCTTCGATGAGTTTAATAACAAAAATCCTTGGTATCTTTCAACTTTCAACTTCAAGTCTTGGAGCGGGTGCAGGTGCTCTAGTACAGGGAGAAGCTCCATCTCCAAACTAAAAAAACAAAAAAACTAAGGTCAATCTCCTAGTTCCCTTTTTCAATCTGATTTTGTCGTCCAAAATCGTTTTGAAAATACACTCACCTCCCATACTGATGGCAGCCTCTTTCCAAATATTATACCGTAGCTATGAATTGATGGCTCCACGAGATTCTTGCTTTTATGCTTCCTTCTTAGCTTAGAGATTCTTCTTAGGTTGTTTTTCTCGAGATTCATCCCTAATAAGACGTGTGGTAAGTTATAGGCAAACTTCTATTTTAGAGTATCATAAATAGATATAAGATCATTGCAGCATGACATTCAAAAAAGCATTTGATTCACATGTTTGAAAAGACGTTTCATGAGAATAATTTGAGTATTTCAAATTTTAACAGTATTCATGTGAGTTAGTAACATGATGAAGTAAATTCACATATTAAATACAATTTATCTATATATTTCTCGAAATAAATGAAAAGAAACAAATGAAAAAAGATATGTAGACTAGTGAGCCAAATGCCTTCAAACAGATGACTTCTTTCAACTACTCATCAAATTATCTTTAGGCGTAGAGCAAACTTAGGCAAGAACTAGAAATAACCATTTATGTATGAAATATCCCATGTTTTTACTCTCTTATGTGTATCAAATCGAGAGAGATATAACAAATGGCTGAAAAAGTAAAGATTGTGAAGGGTCCTTACTTGTATTTTAGCTCCTCTAAGTTAATATCTTCGACACGAACAACTCCCTCGATCGAAGCGAGTGATGCTTTACCTTGGGCGCTAAAGGCAGCTGCAACAAACCATAACGCACAGCTAACTTCCCTATTTCAATTTCTTTCCACCAGAACACCAGAAAGTGAGATATTTTGCATTCTTAAAGAAACGTCATAGGCACCAGAAAATGAAAGAGCAGTGATGTTGTTTACAAGCACGTATAAAAGAAACGAATTCCTCGACTCCCTTCTCAAGAAATCATGATCCTTTTTTGTAGTGGTTCGTATCTCTAACAAGTTTTCATATGACGTTGGGTCTTTCAGTGAAAGTAAAATAACACCTGAACTTTTTTACTGCTAACATAAACCGTAAAATTTAAAATGGAAGTGAAACATTCACTACAAAGACTAATATCCTCACCTGTGGAACTATATCTGAAGCATGGCCACAACAATTTCTCGAGCCCTTCCAATGAGTAAGAATAAGATTCTTCCACGCAGGTCAATCAAACTGTTCGTTTTAATATTAAGAACAAAGAAGAATTTCTTCACAAACGAAACCTTTGGCAGAAGAAAAGAAATGGCATTCCCTTCTATAGGCAATCAAGCAGTCCAACCAAACTCTATGTACAAAAACGTTATCTTACTAAGAAGTATTATATTTTTTTTTTACAAAAAACAACTTTTCATTGATATATGAAAAGGAGAAAGAGTTCAAGAATACAAACTCCCATAGGAGTAAGAGAAAAAAGGAAAAGATGAAAGCAAAATATAGGCTCGACAATGAGCAATACAATCAACATAAGAGTGATATCAAAAGCCAACAAAAGGATCAAGCTTACTGAGAAGTATCATAATGCCTACCGAGAAGTATCATAATGCATAGCCAAACAATAAGACCTATTTAAGCTTGATAATATATGCACTTAAAAGACCACATTTTCTTATATAAAAAAAATTATACAGAGACAGACATGGATCAACATCCATGGCCAACTGAATTATATGATTGACGCCAAGAATGTTGAGTCCACGGGCTGCACATCGATCTGTGCATAGAAGAACACCACTTGAGAGGGACACAAATGAGGCTAGTGCTTTAGTCCTGACATCAAAACTCATAGTAATGAAGAAGTTACCTGTTTTGTCTTTCCGTGTAGAGGGATTAAGGAAAACCATTTTAAACCGGTAAGCCACAATGGCAAAATTCCCCAGTAGTCAACACAAGCACAAGTCATGAAGTATCATTAACAATACGGCACCTTACTAAAATGAAGGAAAAATCATTGCGCTTTTTTCTGAACCACATTAATCATACAATAGAAAGTATGTAAATTCAACAGATAACTTACGCTATGATTTTTTGCATTTGTTCAGTGTTCTCAACAAGAATGTCAACAAGTTGTGTGGACTTCTTGTTTGTTTGGTTCACATTCCAAATACTGTAGAATTAGAAGGAAAATAAAAATGATCAAAAGGAAACTGCAGGAATCTTTTTGTCCTACGGGAAACCATACTTCCATAAAGCAAATGTAAGTATATAAAAAAATATCAGCTCAAACCAAAAGTAGCCCGAACCATAAAACGAAAATCAAAACAAACATGGAACAGTTAATTCTAATATGAATAGCATGTATGCAATTAAATATGCAATATTTCTCGACTACTGGGCATAACCCATTCTGCATGTCAGCTCATAACCAAGTATCTATTAAGAACTTGTTTTCAAGTTCTTCGTAAACATCTAACTTCAATAAGACCAAGACTTAGATTTTATCATACACATCCTAGTTGACGAATAAATGGAATCGTAGAAGCGTAAATGAAAATCCTTAACCACAAATACATCATTCACTGCATGCATGGAGTTATTGGATTGAAACATGCAAATTAGCATGAAATGAGAAGCTAGGCAGTTGCATAGGATACCTCAATATGAAGACCAGACGGAGTTTACAAGATGCAAGTTGCATTGATTGATGACCATGGATTTCAATTAGTTTGTGTAGTTTAAGAAAGACCAATCCTACGAAGCTAAGGTAAACGAGGTATTTGCTTCATCCAATATCAGAACCTGCTTGAAAAATCAAAGTTCATATAAACTGTGTTTCCATCAATTGGCTTCTAAAACGTCATTTTATAAGTTAGACCAGTACAATATTCCAAGAAAGTTGCTAACTAAAAGGTTGAAAATTTAAAGATGCAGGCAATAAGAAACTTATTTTCATTTGGATGAAAAAAATCACTAAATAGAAAATATGTACAGAAGGCAGTATAGAATCTGTTTCAGAATGGCATAACCATTTGGACCCAACCACTTGACTGAAAGGAAAACTTGTTGTTATGGGAGAGAGGTGTTAGATTAGACAGTAAATACATAAACTCAAATAATCCAATAACCAGGAACAAGCACTTGAGGTTGAAGAATACCTAACATTTCCAAAAATCGAACTCGTCCATACGCTCCATTACATCAATAGCCTTCCAGGAGTCCCAATCAACAAATTTGCATCTTCGTCTTTAATTATCTTCATGTCTACTTCTACTTCGGCTCCTCCGACGAGAAGCGTTGATTTGAAATTTAATAGTGTAGAAACAAAAGAAAGAGCAACATTGAAGTTTGTAAGAAGAGCTCCCTTTTGTCAGGGAAATTATTATCCTCATTACCAGCAGATGAAGTAAATAACAACTTTAGAAAGATAATCAAGAATTTTCTTTAGAAAATTGGAGCATAATATTATTGTTATTCACTCTGATAAAATAATGAAGGGCCACGATCAAGATTATGTGAAGTAAAACTTGCATTGCACTTATTATAAAAGCTGCTGTCCTATAAACAATACTGCTATTACTCAAATAGCTTGCTGTTTTGTTGCTGTCAATTGCACATATCTGTACAATCTTTGAAAGAGGTCCAACAAAATGAACGAAAAATATATTGTTGAAAAAAATATAAAGACTAAAGACTGACCATCATGGTGAAAGTAATTCTAATATTGCGGTGATGAGATGAAACATTATTCTCCTTTTGACTCATTTTCAAGCTTTTGACCAGTCCTCGACCAGTCTGCAGAAGATGTGAAGATAAAACTATACATGTCTGCCGAAAGGAATTTTCTTATGTACCTTGCTATTATATTTACCAATCAGAGGTAGAAGGCCCCAACTGATCACAACATTCAGTACTCCATGAATCTGAAAGTGAAAAAAGGAAATGAAGGAAAAAAAATTATTTAAAAGATTACCCAGTATTTCTTGTTCATATAAGTTCTAGTTTTTAGGAATAGAAACGCAAAACAAACCTAAAGGCTGTAAAGAAAAAAAGAAAGGAAACAAACAAGCTTTTGAACGAAATAAATTGTACCTTCAATTTCTTGAAGATCCTGATTACGCATTTGAGAACTCCATGTCAGTATCCCCCAAACGTCAAAAGTGAGCTCCAACAGTTCAATAAAAAGTTAATTGAACAAAGACCAGTTGAAGAACAAAAGTGTAAAGGGAAGAAAGGTTAGAAGATTGAAGAGAGAGATTGTGAATGATTCCTAGTGTCAATTGATGGCATTGCCTAAAATCAGAAAAATAATAACTCTAAATTTAAAATGCGATGGTAGTAAATGTCAAGCATCCTAGTATAATTAAGAAAACTAGAACAATACATAAGTTCCAAAATCAATTATAGCAGGTACTTTCAATGGATTATTAAGCTTCTCTGGAGCACCACTCTCGAGCATTTTGAAACATCCGCAGCCACGGGCTTGGACCTTCTTTGCGCACGTTCCACTGCTTGGGATGCCAAGGAAACTGCCACATCAAGAAGCAACGTTCCGGATGAGGCATCATAGCAAGGTGCCTACCATCTGGAGAACAAATTGCAGCAATTCCCAAGGGAGACCCGTTCATATTGAAAGGGTAAACTTCTGTTGGATTACCATCATCATCACAGTATCTTACTGGGGCCAAGTTAGAAATGAGAATTCGATCGAGAACTCCATCGTCGGGGAAATATGCTCTTCCCTCACCATGGGCAGACCACACACCCAATGTACTGCCTTCCATTCCCCTAAACATTATAGCCGGTGAATCCTTTATGGTCACACTTGTGAAACGACACTCAAACCGTCCTGATTCATTGTGAATGAACCTTGGTTGTGAAGCATCCCCACCAACATCGAGCACACCACCAACTTGGGGGCCTGGCACCCACCATAAGAGAGCCATGAGTTGACACCCATTGCAAACTCCAAGACTGAATGTATCTGGCCGTTGATAAAACTCTTGAAATTGATTCAGCACGGATTGATCGAATCGGATTGAAGCAGCCCAACCTTTGGCTGAACCAAAAACATCTGCATAGCTGAAACCTCCAACAAATACTATTCCACGGAATTGCCCTAATGTGATTTTTCGCTCCGAGATATCGGACATCGCCACATCCCACGGTTCAAAACCAGCAGCATGAAATGCAGCAGACATTTCCCTATCTCCATTGCTCCCTTCCTCTCGAATTATAGCTACTTTAGGCTTAAATGTTGAAGATAAATATTTCTCATCTGTAGAGGAAGGAACAAAAGACAATTCCCACAAAGGCTCATGCCTAGTTTTCAATCCATCTTTTTCTGATTCCACACAAGAAGGCAAACACTGTTTTTTTTCAAGCTCAAAACTAGTTTTCTCCCACATATCTCTGAGCAGAGAAGTTTCCTCTTTCAAACGAGTCACACCATCAACCTTGACTTCTATAATAGGAGTAGCAGTTGCTTGTCCAATGATATCAGCAGTTACACCAGCAGTGGTTAACACTTTCATTACAATGTCTAAGTTATCCTTGCTTACCTCAAGTACAAGTCCAAGCTCTTCTGCATAAAGTATTTGGGACACACTCTTTCCACGTGATGTCAAATCCAAGATGATGCCACAATTTCCAGCAAATGCCATCTCCAAGATAGAAACCACCAAGCCACCATCACTAATATCATGACCAGCAGAGATCAACTCTCTAGCAAGGAGTTCCTGAATGCACTCAAAAACTCTTTTGAAGTAAGGAACATCATCGAAATCAGGACACACATCTCCAACTTGGTCAAAAGCCTGAGCAAAAGCAGATCCACCTAATCGTCGCTCTCCCTTTCCCAGATCAATGTGAAGGATAATTCCATCATCCCCTAGCTTCAAATCAGGAGTAACTGTTTTCGTTATATCAGGACAAGGAACATAAGCACTAATAACAAGATTTCCAGGAGCCTTAACCGCCTCTCCGCCAGCTTGGGCCGCCATTGACAAACTGTCTTTACCTCCATCAATAGCTACGCCAAGTTCGATCATAGTCTCCGAAAGAGCCACGGCTGCATCATACGTGGCTGCCCCTTCCCCATCAAGCTTGGCAGCATACATCCAATTTCCACTAGCTTTAATATCAGAAAGACAGGAAATTTTAGCCCAAATAATATTAGTGAGTGCTTCTCCAAGTGCCAATCTAGCCATTGCTTTGGGATCAAGTAGGCCTTTTATGGGCTGCTCCCCAACTCCAGTCGCACTTCCAGTCAAATTAGAATAAGACGGTGCCTTGACTGCAACATCAGCAAGAGGAATTTGCAATGGCCCTACAGGTTGTTGTTGTGCTACAAGACCTGTTACACATCTATCTGATTTTGTTGTGAAGCATCGTTTCGAACCTACCGACAAAAGTCTCAACACTCTTTTAAGAGAATCTAATACTGTAGTTCCAGGAGCAATATCAAGTGGCTCCAGAACATGAACATCTCGTTGGAATTCAAAGGTTTTTTTAGGCATGTCCCCAAGTATTTTCTTAAGCTCGAGATCCACAGCAGGAGGAGGGGGAGGAAGTCCACTAGCAATGCATTTTTGGATTGCAATACTATCAACTAAAACGCAACGACCATGATCACTTATTACACCAATTACAGCCATTGGTAACCTTTCTCTATCACACACTAATTGTAATACACTACGACATTCAGGCTTAACTAAGATGGCATCTTGTTCCTGATATTCTGCACCCCAAATCTCTAAGACAGACATAGTGTGATCACCAACAACAACTGCCCTTATATCAATTTCTGCTCCTTTTGGATCTATAATTTCCTTGACAACATTACAATTCCCCCCCGCTCCCTGATCATGAATGCTAATAATTGGGTTATTTTCCCCCATTTCAACACAAGCACGAACAACACGGTAAAGTTTTTGTGCCATCTCAGCATCCCCACGTTGCACAGCATTAAAATCAAGCTCCGCATCATTCTGACCACTAACCATGCTTGATGCAGCTCCACCTCCCATACCAATGCGATAAGCAGGGCCTCCAATTTTTACAACCAACATTCCAATGGCAGGCTCTTCCTTTGAGATGTGGGTATGATCAGTTTGCCCAAAGCCTCCACTGAACATGATCGGCTTCAACCACTCTCGTCTTTCGCCATTAGGTAGTCTCATCCCAAATGTTCTAGCAAAGCCTTGAATCAATGGCTCCCCAAATTTATTACCATAGTCCGATGCACCATTACTCGCATCAATCAAGATCTTCAAAGGCGAAGCCAAGTTGGGTGGGTAGGTGAATGATGAATCTTCCCATGGAGCATAGGACCCTTCTATATTGAGATTTCCAACACAATAACCAGCTGTACCTGCACCAACCAAAGACCCCTTCCCAGTTGCATGGGTCTCAGCTGTAAATAAAATATCAAGATCACATCTACTTTCTTCTAACGGACTTGTTGAACCAGGACAAACGGGTCGCAACTGATTAACCAAGTATCCTCGAATTGCACTTGAATTATCCTTAAATCCGATCACAGAATTGTTAGGATTTGCCTTCAAGGTGCTCTTGACAATCTGCATAAGCGTTCTACTCATAGGCTTTCCATCTATAACAAGTTTTCCATTAAAAAACCAATGCCTACTGTGCTCACTGTTGGATTGAGCAATATCAAACAGTTCCACCGTTGTTGGATTTCGCTTGATTTCCTCCCTGAAAAGCTTGGTGTAGTAGAGAAGATCTTGTTCATCAAAGGCTAATCCCATCTCTTGATTAATCTCCTCCAGTGCCTTCCGACCTTGTTCTAAAACGGGGACAAATCGAATCTCCTCAGGCTTCACACTAGTCTCAATAGATGTAAGCCTCTGAATATAAACGCATTCTGTCATCTATCATGAACCATTGCAGCAAACCCATTAATCTGATGTTCTTGCAACGCACCTTTAGTGTACAACAAATACCTCCTCGAACGTTCCATACGCGTCACCTCTTTTAGTCCACATGCTTTGCAGATTGACACAGCATTTGAGGACCAGGCTGTAGTGAAAGACAAACGGGGTCCAACCTCAATTATAACAGATTCCAGTCCTTGCCGCTGCTTCTTCTCAAGAAAGCTCTCCGTCCCTAAATTCTCAGGCTCATAAGTTTCCTGAAGAAGCCATCTAAGCACAGATAGCTTTTCATTTGAAATCTCGGACTGAATCCCAATGTTGTAACACTGCTCAGTTTGCAAACCAATAATCTGATTTGAAATCTTCACTTGGACGGACTTGAGAAGTTCAGAAGTGGCACTTTCCTGAATCAAAGGAACACGGAAAAAATGAATAACCTCTGTATTGGGTTTCTCAACCAAGCTTGAAGCCTCATCTACTGGACTTGCCACCACCTTACAATCCACAGCCCTGGCTTTGCTTGATGCCCTAAATCTCAGCGGAACAAATCCTCTGTTAGAATTAACTGATCTCATAGTCGAACTTGGCAGCATCCCCAATAATCCATGCCGTTTACAGTGGGAATAACTCTGCAGAAACAAATTTTGCCTACGCCCATCCTATCAAAAGCAAATAAATCCTTATCAGCAAAGTGAATGTGAGAGAAAAACAACTATTATTACCTTCCGAAACACAACATGGACTTCTCCAACTCCATTATATGATATTCCCCAGAAGCCAAACGACAACCAAAAAACAGAAACATACTTGCAAGAACTTCGCCGCAGCAATTTCTCCAGCACCAGCCATTCAGCAGACCTGCGAGATTAAAAAAAAAAACACAAAACGATCACTAAATAAACAAAAAAGAGATGATCCGCTACTTTTCATTTTCTACACACGACCTCTATCAGACTGAATCAATCGGAAAAAGAAAAGAAAAAATCATAAGCTGTAGCCACCAACCGCCTTTATGCAGAGGATATGCGGTGGTGAGATTCAGAGAGGGAGCGCCGGCGAAGGGTTTTGGAAGTTTTCCGATTTGCGACGGCGACTACGGAGGCGACTCTTTGCGTATGAAACAAGGGACTACTGAATAAGTTATTTGAAATATTATAAATTATTTAAAACTCTTCTATCTTTGTTTATAATCACAAAATTTTACGTTCAAAAATGGAAAAAACAAAAAGAAAATTTTGAAATAAATTAGATTACAATTTTTTGATCTGAATATTCGAAAATAAAATAAGAAGTTTATTGATAAAAATTTTCCATCCTAATTTATTAATAGCAATTTTAAATATTATGAGATTAAATCATGATATCTTTTCAAACAAAAAAAACATAATCTAATTTATATTTGTATTATTTATTGCGATCAAAGTTTTAGGTGGTAGGGATTTCTTTTCCATATTTGTATTTAAAATCTATTAAATCTTTTCAAAGTTTTGAGTTTAGAATTTAAAGTTTCCTTTTTCATATTTGTATTTTAAATTTATGTAATATTTTAGGGTTTAGAGGAAAACTTCATTCTAAAATATAAATTTTATAACAATTAAATCTATTTGAAATTTCTTACTTTTTAATTCCAAATCCTGCGGATTTCAAATCATTATGATTTTTACAGAGATTCCAAGCACAAATAAGTTTTTTATTTTTTAATTACGTTTTTTTAATAAAATAGTTAGTTACTTATTGAAACTAAACAATAGTATGAGATTTATATGCATATCCATATATTTAGGTACTATCATTCCAACTCAAAAAAATAATATATATATATATATATATATATATATTATTAGTTTTTGAAAATCAAGGAGCTTAACGTTTAATTTTGTTGTTCAAAATTCTAATTTTTGAAATATATTTCTCAAAATTACACAAATTCCTTATGTTTCTAAAAACAAAAAACTGAAAATCAGAAAAAGAAAGGAAAAAAAAACAAATAGCCCTATAGTTGAACAAAAATTAATATTGAACACCCTTCCGTAGCATAATGGATTATTATAAATTTGATATTGATCCCCAAAATTAAAATTTGAGGGGGAAAAAATATTTCAATAGATTTTCTTTCAACTTGTTACAAACAAATGGATTTCCCAAGCCTTTTTATTTACTAAAAACATTTCTACCATAGATTAAAATTTATTATTGAGAGAAAATATCTCTAATGGGTCATTTAGAACCAATATTTCACAAATAACTGAAAAGTTTTCAAATTTTGATTTTAAATTTTCATTAATCCTGCCTCAATTATTATTTTATTTAATTAAATTTATTTTTTATTTAAATGATTAGATTTGATTTTTATCAATTTTTTTCGTATTTGAATTTTAAATCTTTTCTCTTTGATCTAACTTAAAAAATCTCATTTTTTTCTCATATCACAAATAATACAAAATTTTTACTTTTGTAATCAAATTTTAAAAAATTCCTCTCTCACCGAATTTTTTTTTCCGACTTTTTTTTCATGCTTTTTTTTTCAATAGTATGATAAGATATATACTAAATGGTTATATAATATATACTTCTTTATTATTATATAATATTATACATATAATATATTTTTATCTCATAATTTACAGTATAATAAATATATGCAACTTCAAAAGATTATATAATATATAGTGTTTAGTGGTATATACTAAAATATTTAGGTTATATAATATATAACTTTTAATAGTATATAGTCAAATAGTTATATAATATATAATTTGAACTGTTTGTGTCATATATCCAAAATCTAATAAACTAGTTTTCAAATTAGAGATTTAAGTATTTCAAAACAAAAATAAGGGATTTCATGAAATGGTACGATTTTAGAGATTTCAAAACAAAAATTAATTCTAAATTTATTACATATTTGACTTTATTTTTTATCCTTGTTTTAACATATATTAGAAATGACAATGATCTATGATTAAAAAGTTAAGTTGATTGTGTAATTTGAATCATAAAATAGACTAATTGTATACTGATCCCTATTATTAATTACGTCTTTAGATTACGTCTTTAAACTAAAGGTGTGACATACATATCAATCTAGTGCATTATCATACAAAATCAATCGATTACGTCTTTAAACTAAAGGTGTGACATACATATCAATCTAGTGCATTATCATACAAAATCAAACAAAAATTAATTTATATAGATCGCATCATAATCAACACTTCATCAAAATTTATCAAACAAATAATGAAAGTTATACTATGAATAAGAGGAAGTTTAGAAAGAGAGCATTAAAAATAAATAATAAATAAATAAAAACCTACATTTTCAAACTTTAAATCTCAAAATGGTATATATACTTCTAAAAAGTGATGACCTCGATCCCTTAATATATTTTTATATAAACTTTTTATTACAATTTCAACGCGTTATTTGTCACGTGTAAATTTGTGATAATTTTTTTCTAAATAAGGACCCCAACAACGATCTTTTTTATACTAGAGTCAAAATGAGATTTTAAACTATATGGACTAAAATGAACTAAAGTCGGAAGTAGAGGACTAAAATAATATTTTAACCCAAAAAAAAAGGTTTAGAAAGATAAACACTAACATCTAGAACTAATAAATAAAGTGGGCAGAATTTATCTATTAGGATACAAAAATATCATATCAAGGGTGTATAAATAGTAAAAGAAGCCTGAGAAAGGGCATAATTTACATAGGAAAATCACCTACTAGCAACATAATATACAAAAGAAAGAGATGTAGCTCAATAATACCGGTAGACCTATCAGTTAAGCAAAAATCTGTTCCAGCTGCAACCAAACTTCAAGCCAAAAACTTTTGGGACTCCAAAGATTATCATTGCAGAATCGGTCCCTTTCAGCAGCATAAGTTCTCCAAACAAAGCTTTCAAGGTACTGTGATTCTCTCTCGTTCTCAAAAGACCGACCGTCTCTGATGCTCGAGACTCTTGCTATGTCGTAAATGTCTTTGAGAGTTCACTGGAATCTTAGAATTTACTCATGCATTTCACAGTAGCTCCTCAGTCCCAGTTAACTTTGCATATTCAGTTTCGTCGATAGTTCCCTTTTTGAGTTTTTTCAACAGTCGATATTCGTGCGCTAACTCATCCTCATCTTCAACTGTTTGTGCAGCACGTCTCTGTCGAGCTGTTTTCTTTCTCAAGACCGGAGCTGTAGCAGCATTAGAGTTCTTCTTCGGCTCGGGTTTAGGCTGCTGCTTTTGTGCTTCCTTCTTAGCTTGAAGATTCTTCTTCCGTTGTTTTTCCCGAGATTTATCCCTAACAAGATGTTTGTAAGCTAAGGGAAAACCTTTTTTTTTTGCAATATCAGTCACTATGATGTGAAGTAAACATTGAAATCAGAACAAAAACTAATATTTTTAATATAACACGTGGGAGTAGGGAAACTCGACATTTGGTTAGAGATAAGTGTCTCAGCTAGTTGAGCCAAACTCAAGTGGGCAAAACAGAGAACTTATCAAAATATATCATACACACATAAATAAATGTAAGATCATAGCAATATGACATTAATAAGCATTTGGTCCCATGTTTTGGAAAGCCCAAATTTGTATAGCCTAAGGCTGAATTATATAGGCAAGTTTCATCCGCCTAAATTAGGTAGTTCTTATTTTATTTGTGGATTTATGATTGTGATTTTGTAAAAGTTAGCGTGTAGCTCAAAGGGCGGGTTTCCAAAAGGTGGGTTTCCAAAAGGCAGACAAACTTATTTGCTTCGATCCATGTGATGAACAAGTTTGAAATTTGAGACAAACAAGCTCATATACAAACCATAGATTAGTGAGCCAAATACCCCCGGCTAATACATCTATCAAATTTATCTTAGGCAGTGGTTGGAAATAAACTATGTTTCTACTCTTGTATGTTTTCTGAATCAGTCTACATTTTCATTATTTTACATACAGCAGTAAGCTCCCACATATTCAAAAATCATATTACTACTTGTCTGTGACACAAAGTAAGTATCGTTAAAAAACTAGCAAATCGAGAGTGGAGACAATGGAAAAAGAGAGAGATAACAAAATGGCTGAAAAGATAAAGACTGACTGTGAAGAGTCCTTACTTGAATTTAACCTCCTCGAAGTTAATATCTTCAACGGGGACAAAACCCTCGGTCGACAGTGAGTGGTGCTTTACCTCAGGCATCAAAGGCAGTTGCAACAAACCATAACCCATGGCCAGCTTCCCTATTTCAAGTTCTTTCCATCTGAATGACAGTGACAACAAAACATTAGAAAGCTAGGTATTCTGCGGATTGTTTAGAATATTTAAAAGAAATGTCATTAGGCACCTGAAAATGAAAGCGCAGTGGTGCTCTTTATAAGCACGTATAAAAGAAACGAATGCCTTAACTCCCTTCTCCATAACATCACGATCCCTTTTTGCAGCGGTTCGTATCTATAACAAGTTTTAATATGACGTCGGGTGTTTTAGTAAAAGTAAAATGACACTTGGAACTTTTTTTACTGCTAACATAAACAGAAAACGGAAACATTCACCACAAAGATTAATATCCTCACCTGTTGAACTACATCTGAAGCATCATCACAACAATTTCTCTCTTGTATAGGAACCCTTCTTATGCGTAGAAATTCTATATAAGCTTCTTCCTATGCAAATAAGTCAGAATTCTCATAATTAATATTAATAACCACTTCAACAAAGAAGAGTTTATTTATAATTTTCTTATTTATTAATATTAACCAAAGAGACTTGGAGGAACCAATATTCCAACGTTCATTCGTTTTATTATATAAAATTCCAATAATAAAAAAGACCAAATAGCACAAATTGCACCTTCGGCAACAGAAAAACAATGGCATTTCCTTCTCTACCCAGTCGAGCTGTCCGGCCAACTCTATGTACAAAAACATTAGGATCTTGAGGAGGATCGTACTGCATAACCAAACAATAAGTAGATCTATTTTAGCTCAGGGATATATGCACTTAAAAGACCATAATTCTTTAAGAAAAGTTCTATATGAAAAATAATATGGACTGACATCCATAGCCAACCTGAACTATACAATCGACACCAGGAATGTCAAGTCCACGGGCTGCAACATCTGTGCATAGAAGGACACCACTCGAGAGGGATACAAATGAGGCTAGTGCTTTCTCCCTGGCGGTCTATAGAACAGAAAAGATATAGGTCATCAAAATCCATTGTGAGCTTCCAATAATGCAATTTAAAATTTACAGAATATGGTCTATGAAAAGTTACTTGTTTCATCTTTCCATGCAGAGGGATCAAGGAAAAACCCTTTAAAATGGTAAGTTGTGGTAGAACAACTCCCCAATAGTCAACACATGCACAAGTCATGAAGTATCTGTACAATACAAAACCATGCTAAAATGGGGGGAAAACATTGCCATATTTAACCATATTTGTCATAAATTAGAAAGTATATAAATCCAACAGATAACTTACACTATGATTTTTTTGGCTCTGTTCTTAACAAGAATATCAACAAGTTGAGCAGACTTCTTGTCCGCTTCACATTCCAAATACTGCAAAGTCAAAAGGACAAAAAATATTGAAATAAAACTGCAGGACATGCAAGCAAAACTACTTATAGAATAATTGCGAGCATGCACGCAATGTTTACATACAAATCCTAGACTTTTCGTTCTTGGATACTGGGCATAATTCAATCCACACACCATGACCGCCCATAACCTTTTCATGGACAAAAGTATCAGTTGTGAACTTGTGTCTCGAGTTCTTCATAAACAACTAAGTTCAATAAGACCATGATTTAAGAGTGCTTATAATATCTATCCCCAATGACAATGGCTGGGATCAAGGAAGTGTAAATAAAAGTCTTTAATATTCACATATCCGTCATTTACTCCATGCATCAAGTTATTTAATTGAAACATGCAAATTATCTTAAAGAGAAGCAATTGCATAAGATACCTCAATATGAAGACCAGACGGAGTTTTCGAAGATGCAAGTTGTGTTGATGACAATGAACCAGACTTTGTTTCTGCCTTTACTTCAACCCTGACAGGATTTCTTAGCCCTGCCTTTGATAGCTCTTCAACTGCTTCGGTTTGTGTAGCTGAAAAAAGACCAGTCCTACGAAGCTTAGGCAAACGAGATATAATTGACGTTATCTGCTTTTGAAATCCCATATCCAAGAGCCTATCTGCCTCATCCAGTATCAAAACCTGTAGGTAAATAATCAAAGCTACAATAAAACTTTGTGATAATCAACTGACGGAAGGGTTGAAAGTATAGATGCAAATGTAAACATAAAATGCAGACAATAAGAAATCTTTTTCCTTTTGGTAAGAAAAATTCACTAAATAAAAAACATAAACTGGAGGAAACAATATAGCATCTGTCTTTGAATGGCATAACCCCTTTCTGTATATATATATGGGGTCCTGTAAAGGATCATTTTACACCAAGTTATCAACTACTTAACTGAAGAACATTTATTGTCGTAATATATTAACTAAGAACAAGTTTTTGAGGCCGACGCATACCTCAAAATTCCGAAAATCCAAGTTGTCCATACGTTCCATTATATCGAATAACCTTCCTGGAGTCCCAATCAACAGGTTTGCACCTTCGTCTTCTATTTTTTTCATGTCTGCCTTTACTTCGGCTCCTCCAACGAGAAGCACCGATTTGAAATTCGATAGTGTAGAAACAAAAGGAAGCGCAACATTGTAAATTTGAGAGGAAAGCTCCCTTGTTGGGGAAATTATTATCCCCATAACCTGCATACAATATATGAATAACATGTAGAAAGATAATTTGAACGCTTCTATGAGTCGATAATAACAAAAAGTCACTCGAATGACATGAAACAAAGTGAGACGAACCTGGTGAGCTTTGGGGCGACTAGAACATCGGCGGAGGATCTCGACAACCGGAACTACAAACGCTAAGGTTTTCCCCGAACCGGTGGCGGCATCGACGGCGACGTCCTTGTGGCTACATAGCAACGGAATCGTGGCGGCTTGAACTGGAGTACAAAATTGAAAACCAGATTGGGCCAGCGCCTCGAGAACTGGTGCAGAGAGGGGAGGTTCGAGGTCGGAGAAGGGGGTGCTGGTTAAAGCTCGGTTTCCATCCTCGGAGTCCATGGGAGAATACCAATAACAAAAGAGTAGAAAATCAGAGCAAACTTTCAGGAGGGAGAAGGCGGCGGCGTCACTGAACGGAGGAGGCGACGTCGTCGTCGGCGTCGGCGGTGGCAGCAGCTAAAAGGGAGGGGGAGACGGTGAAGAAGAAGGTGGGAGTGTGGAAGTGAGAGGAGGATTCAAAGGTAGCTAAGGTAGGGTTATTTCACAAAATCGTATTTTTCCTTTTTCGAAAAGGAATTTGTATTGTGTTTATTTTAATAATACTTTTTTTAATCAGCTTTCTTTTAAGGCTGTGCTAACTTTATGTTATTTTTGGTCATTACTCATTTTAATTTAATTATTTTTTTAATTATATTCATGTTGCCCATTTCAATTTAATTGCTGACAAAATGTCGAATTATTTGTATTATTAAAAAATATAAATATTTAAGATAGATATACATTAGTTACTATCTTCTATTGTTTAATGCATCTTATTCATTTTTTGTTTAGTATAATAAATGGGGGAGTGATTCAAATTCTAATTTCTTGGTCAGAAACTAATATCGTCGAGTTAAGCTCATATTAGTTATCTTAATCATTTTTTAGAGGTTGATGTTGTACTTACTATTTTTTATTTAATTGTTGATGATTAACTTTTTGATTTAAAATGATTGAAGAATTTACCTCTCATAATAAGCCTGCTTTGGGTGGGATATCTGATAGGGAATCTCGAATGTGTGAGTGGATACGGGATGATAGATTAGGTATTCATGTGACAATGGAAACACTCACACAATCGCGAACACTCTGTTGGCAGAACTTCTACTCATGAGGGGATGAAATTAACTTGTGATTAGGGTTGGTTAAAGCAATGGTTGAATCCAATTTCTTGGAAGTTATTAGTTTGAACTTATTTGTGGGTCTTCGGGTCTTCTGCTTGGTAAGATGATGTCGTAATTTGGGTTGATGACATCAAAATGTTGGCTGAATTGTATGAGTGATTTCCTTCTCTTACATTCTTAGAGAGTCTAATGCATCTTCTTATATTTGTCAAATTTTATAAATTTGATTATTAATTACCCGTTTGATAACCATTTCATTTTTCGTATTTTATTTTTTGTTTTTAGTTTTTAAAAAATAAAATTTTTTGATAACCAATTCAATTTTGTATGTTTTAAAAAAACTATTTTGAAATCCTAGGTACAAATCCTATGTAAATTAAAAAAGGAAAAGAAAGTTTGATTTTTGTTTTTCAAAATCTATTTTTTTAATAATACTCGACTTTTGTTTCTTTCTCATATATTTATATAATAGAATTCTTTATCACTCTCAATTTTTTATTCATTCTAAGTTTCTCTTTGCTGTGCCGATTCAGATGCGGGATATTGATCATAGTTTCGGATTAGTAAATTAATAATAAAAAAATGAATACATAAGCTAAATACAATAAGATATAAGACGAGATTCGACCACCTCCTACATATTGAAAACTTTCTGCTACAAAAAAATTAAGAATACCCACCGCATTTGTAATTCCATCAATTACCCGTCGATCAAAAAAATAAGTTAATTCAGCTAATACTCTTATACCCCCAATTAAGGATATTCTATAAAAAGCATCTATGTAACCACGATTCTACGACCAATTTAATATTCTATTTCTAATTTTATAAATAAAAAAAAATTATTTGTCAAACTTTTAACAAATGAATTACGAAAATTCAAATTTTGTAAAGATGAATAAGCGGGCTTATGACCCGACAAAATTTATTTTTCTCTCACTAAAATGTTTATATTTTAAATATTTATTATTATTTATCTCTCTCAAATATCTTTATTTTTTTCTAACATATCACTCTTATTTCTCTCTTTAAAAAGTTAATATTTTATCGGATTTTTTTTCTCTCTACCATTTCGTTTCGTACAATATTTTTTTCTTTTTCAATATATGTTTCCTCTGAAAATTATATCTCATTTTCTCGTTTAATTACCTTTTCATTTAATTATTTTTTCTAAGAAGTATATTTCGAATATTGTTTTTATCTTTAAATTTGTTCCCACTATATCTTTTTTCTTTTTAATTTATTTTTCTTTAACGTATCTCCTCTCAATTTTAATTTTTTTCTTTAAAATTTATTTGTCTCTAAATTTTCTTTCACTAGTTTTCCTTTTTCTCTCCAAAGTTTTTATTTTAAAAAGTTTCCATCCATCTAAGTTTGTATTTCATGTCTCTACGACAAAATTTCTCTAGGATCGAGTCACCACTCAAATAATAGAAAATGCATGTCTCAAAATTGTCCCGATTCTATTTTCTTTTTAATAATTAATATATACTTTTATTAACATATTTACTAAATTGTAAATAAAATATTAAATATTTTTTAAAACTAATTATTTATAATAGTAAATAATAATTCTAAAAATAATTCATATATATTTATTATGCTTTCTATAAAATTAAAAAAATAATTAAAATTAATTACAAAATCGGTAATTTTTACCGCGAATATCTCCTTCAAAAAATAACGATCATTTAATATGGTTATGATTCCCAAACCGAAGAACGAGGTAGAGATGGTGGACTAAAAATTTTTACGAGTAAAAAAATGAGGAGCGCATCTTCAATCCGCCCCACACTATTGTCATCCCTATATTTTCAATTTTATAACTTTTTTCTCTTAAAGAAACAAAAACCAGTTATCAAATATATATTGTTTTTGTTTTTTAAAACAAAAAACTAAAAATAAAAACAAAAACAAAAAATAAAAAACAGAAATAGTTATTGAGTGTGTAGAAGAAAACAGAAATAGTTATTGAGTGTGTAGAAGCTGAATGCATATGGGCTCTAATTGTAATAATTAAGTTTTTTTGTTAAATGACATTGTAATTAGTTATTTTTGGCTCAAGTTTTAACCCCTAATATTTAGTTACTTCTAAATATAACTAACTACGTTTAAGAATCTATACTATATCTAAATTGGGCTATGGAAGGTTCTTTACCTTCTCATTTTATCCCCAACTTTTGAAGACATATACCTATTTTGTCCTTCAAATTTCTACGAAGAACACGACTGTTCGAGTTAAAGTATCTATTGAGATAACAAATCCATAAAAGTTGTGATCATTCGAGTTTAATCCAAATGAGTTGTAACTGTTCGAGTGAAATGTGTGTTGAGAGAAGTTAATATGATGAAGAGTACAACTGTTTGATGAAGCGATGCATTTATCCACGTATATGTGCCATAACAAATATTCTAATATTTTTCTTCAATTACCTAAATCTCATTTCCAAAATATTAATGATGATTTTTCTTATCTTCATGAGTGAAAACTGAACCATGTCAAAAGAATATTTGAGAATCCAGAAATATATTTAATCAATTAAGATGTAGAATAACAAAATTATGTATTCGTATTATCTAGTTATTGTTATTCTCAATTTTAATTTAATATTTAGTTAATGTTCTTTTCACGTTTTAAAATATATTCATGTGATATTTTAATATTATGTTTCTTATTTATCTTAATATGACTTTTTGATTGTTGTTGTTCTTATTTTATTTTTCTTGATCATGTGATTATTTATCCCACATTTTGTAATGATTTAATGACAATATATACTATTAAGTTTCTTTCTCAAATTTTAATTATTTAATTTTGGTTCATTATTCATTATTACATAATATACAAAAGATAAAAAAATTAGTAAATAATTTAAGAAAACGCACAAAAAGATAATTGTTGTTTTCTTTAAAAAAAATTGACAATGAATAAGAATTGTCCGATTCAAATGAATTTTGCATTGAAATTATGTTTGCATAGATAGTAGTGATTTGAATCATTGTTGACAGAAATTCAGGTGAGAGCAATATAAAGTTCTCGCTTTAAAAATGTTTTAAAAAAATAATTATTGAAACTAATAATTAATAAATTTAAGATAAAAGAGATAGATTCTCATTCATATAGTCAGATAAGATATATTTTTTTCTTATTTACTATTTTGGTTTAATTTATTTTTACGTCATAAACTTCAATTCTTGTATTGTGTCTATTTTATTTTTAGTTTTTTAATATCAAAACTATCATAATATTACCTTAATATATTTGACTATACCATCCATTTTTTAAATTGTCTAATAGTTTTGTATCCATATTTAGATTAAGAAAGTTGTTAATAATTGTGCCAATAGTTATAGATTGTATTTTTTAATTATTATTATATTTAAATGGTGTAGTATAATTTATATTTATCATTTTAAAAATAGAAAAAATATATTTGATTTTTCAATTTTAGAAAGTAGCTTAAGAGTAAAAATAAGTAATTTTATTTGTTCAAATAATTTAATATTTAATTATAATTTTGACAATCTAACAAATTATTTCACTACTGCTCGAATTTTTAGTTACATAATTTGATTTAATTTATTATGTCTCAATTAACAATAAACTTGATTATCAAACATTGATAACCATATTAATTATTTCAATTTTATAGTATATTCAATGTTTTTTTATACCTCTTATTTTATTGTTTTAGTTTGAAGTATGTTATTTTCGTTGAAAATGACAACAAATAATAATATATTTTATTTGAAACAAAATATTAGTACCATTTAAAAGTTCTCTTGAGTTCTTGTTCTATATGATAAATTGGTAGAAACATTATATTAAATATATTTTATTTGAAACAAAATATTAGTACATCCAAGAATTTGGTTGAGTGGTTATTTTATATGTTAAATTATTAGTAATATTATATTAAAATGTTTATCATCAACGCATAAATGCAATTAAGTAAATATTATTTCAATCGTAAAATACTGCGAAATCGCCCACTCCCCTCGCAGAGGTTCGAACAAAAAAGAAAAAAAAGAAAAAAAGAATCCCGAGAATTCCTCCAGGAATAACATGGTTCGTTCTACCACTCGGCTGTGTCCTCAATTCTGCAAATCGTGAATTTGGCTCAAGAAATAAGCATAAACTGTACCGGATTATCTTGAAGAAAGAGAAGGATAAGAAAGAGAGATTGGGAACAAGAAATTGGACCGCAAGAAAACTGGCATGGGATTTTAGCGGGAGAAAAATGATGCGTAGAATCAATTTTGTGAAATGGGTTACCATTTTCTTCATGATTCTACACCAAATTTCGCCCTTCAATTCGGTGTTTTCATTGTGCGAGTTCAGTTTCCTTAACAATGGCAAGATGTACAACTTCAATCTGGCATCGCCTGTCTCCAACTTTCCTCATGGAATTCTCAGCGAAGACGGGTATTGTCTGTTTTCCTCTGCCTCGGGTCTGTAAATAGAAGTTAACATATGAAAACTTATCAGTTTCTCTGTCTTGGTGCCGCTGGTAATTTGTGTTGGTTGTGACTTAATCTTGTTTGCATTGCAATGAAAGAGCAATTTGACTTCGAAGTTAAGTTTTGTAATCGGAATGTAGTTGCTATTGTTCCATTAGGAGTTGACGAGTTCTTTAGTCTCTTTCATTATTGGAATTCACTTGAAAATGTGACAAGCACCAGCTTGGTTTTCATTATGACTGATAGTCAAGAACTAGTTTATTAGGCTCAACGTGGTTAGAATTCGGTGAAAGGGTTTACACTGAGTCACACTCCTGCTAGAACAATCATTGGGTATTGTGTATTGTATTGAGCTGGAAACTTGAATGATAAGGATGCTGATATAGATGAGTTATGAATGTTAGAAGTATTAAACATATAGTTATTTATCAACAGCACAAACTAAAGGCTTGTTTGGAAAACACGAAACGAAAAACACAACTACTTGAACTATTTTCAAAGCAAGCCACAAAATCCTTGCTAGACCATTGATGAAGGAAGAGTGCGATTTATATTTGAATTTGGTGTGCTTGCCTTTTGAAATGACTTGTCTTCCTAATTTTTAATGTTTGAGATGTTAACTATAAGTTCTGCCACTTATTTCTTCTTCCTTTTCTGAATTTTTTATTCCATTAATTTCTGCTCAGATTTTACAGAACAGCAGCCAATGATTCTATTCTCTGGTTTCAGGTTTGCTCCATCAGGTTACAATTTGTTTTTTACATCAATCGTTTTCACATACTTTGCTTATAAATTTTCATCCTTCTTGTAAATTGAAATTTCAATTGATATGCAATGCTCAATTTTTCATAAAAAGATATGTGTAATAAAAAGTTCTTCTTTTGAAGAGCTGCATTTGTTATTTTTCAATGAAAGAGATTCTTCACATTCATTTATATTCAACACAATACTGAAAGTCTGCAGTTGGCATCCAGCAGTTCTTTTTGTTTGTGTTTTATTATGTAATAATGAGAGTGGTACTAAGTTAGGTGACCACTTGGGAAGTCCTTGTGTTGCACCCCTTTTTGTTTCTACTTTCATCTTATATAATAATGATCTGACCTTGGCATAATTGGGTGGTTTACTCGTTTAACTTCTTGATCTCTTTTATGCTTTTATGGAGCAGCTTTGCGATGGGATGATTTTCAATCATGATCCACCTATGTGTGTTGACTGCTTGGTAAGTGCATCTAACGTTCCTGCCATCCATTATTAAAGAAATTATTTGTTTAT